CCGTATGAGATTCTGAACAATCGAAAGCCCAACGTTAGGTTTTTCCATGTGTTCGGTTCAAGGTGCTTCATTTTCAACTCCAAAGAGAACCGAAACAAGTTTGACATCAAAGCCGATGAGGGAATATTTCTTGGTTATTCACTCACTTCAAAGGCATACAGATTTTTGAACAAACACTCCAAACGTATTGAAGAAACATACTATGTAACCTTTGATGACAACTACATGAAGAAAGTTCAAAGAAGCGAAAGTGCCTTGGGGGAAATATTTCCTAAATCAGGACAAGTCTCGGTTCCCATTTCCAACTTGTTTGAAGAGTACATAAGACTATTTGATGAACCAGAGAAGGATGTACACTCAGAGGCGAAAGAAGCAGACAACAAAATCGACAATCTGAAGAAGATCATTGATGAAGCTGCAAAAGAAATGGAAAGTGAACCTCCTAAACCAACTGATGGTCAACCCTCAACGGACCCTCCAAAAAACGGCTCAACGTTCAAGGGGGAGGGTTCATCTGCACCAAAAACAAACGATCTGTCTGTCGAATGGCAAAATCGAAGTCAATCCCCAACCAATGATAGTCCAATTGAGGGGGAGAATCCAACTTCAACAGAGGAGGAGAATCCTGAACCTGACAAGGGATACACTTCGCCAGTTGAGGGGGAGAATGCGAATACAAATGACGAAGGTGATCAATCAGAACTTGAAGAAGAGGTAAATGCAGAGTTGGATCCAGCCTATGACCCTAATTCCCCTCCTCTAACAAAATGACTAAGGATCATCCCAAAGCACAAATTATTGGTGAATCATCTGAGCGAGTTCTTACACGTTCTCAATTGAAAGCGAAACAAACTACATTATTCTCTAATGTTGAATTATGTATGTTTAATTCGTTTGTCTCCAAGATCGAACCGAAAACGGTTAATGCTGCACTTGATCACGCTGATTGGGTACAAGCTATGCAAGATGAACTCCATGAGTTTGAACGTAATCGAGTTTGGAGGCTGATTCCCACTCCAAAGGATGCTTCAGTGGTCGGCTTAAATGGGTCTTCAGGAATAAGTTGGATAAAGAGGGCAACGTCATACGCAATAAGGCTCGGTTGGTGGTGAAGGGATATTGCCAAGAAGAAGGGATAGACTATGAGGAGACCTTCGCTCCTGTAGCAAGGTTGGAATCAGTAAGAATCTTTCTGGCATATGTTGCTCATAAAAACTTTGAAGTTTTCCAAATGGATGTGAAATGTGCTTTCTTAAATGGAGAACTAGAAGAAACGGTGTATGTTGAGCAACCACCTGGGTTCGTAAACGAGAAATACCCTGATCACTGCTATGTGTTGGACAAAGCTGAGGGCCTGGTATGAAACATTAACTCGCTTTCTTAAGATGTCAAAATTTAAGCAAGGTTCGGTTGACCCAACCTTCTTCCGAAAGAAAGAAGGCGAACATCTAATGATAGTTCAGATTTATGTCGATGACATCATCTTCGGCTCTACGAATCCTAGCTTAACAGCTGAATTCAGGAAGTTGATGGAGACTAAATTTGAAATGAGCGCAATGGGTCCTATTAACTTTTTCCTTGGATTGAATATAAGACAGGGACCAGAAGACATTTTTATCAACAAGGAGGCCTACACAAAGAACTTGCTGACGAAGTTCGGTATGATGGGAGACTCGAAGGTGAAGGTTCCCATGGCGTTTGGCACAAAGTTAACACCATATCTGGAAAAACCTGCTGTTGACGTAACACTCTATCGTCAAATGATAGAGTCTCTTATGTATCTAACAGCTAGTAGACCGGACATTATGTTTTCTGTTTGTTATTGTGCCAGGTTTCAAGCAAATCCAAGAGAACCACACATGGTGGCAGTGAAAAACATTTTTCTTTATCTGAAGCGAACCTCTTCTCTCGGTCTTTGGTACCCTGCTAGATCCGGATTCTTTGTTCAAGCCTTTTCTGACGCCGATCTTGGAGGATGTGGTCTGGACCGAAAGAGCACAACTGGAGGATGCCAATTCCTTGATGGTAAACTTGTTAGCTGGCAGTCCAAGAAGCAAACCTGTGTGTCTCTTTCAACAGCCGAAGCTGAGTACATAGTTGCAGCATCCTGTACCTCATAAGTAATCTGGATACAAAGCCAACTAAGAGACTACAGACTGAGTATGAAGAAAATACCTCTCTATCGTGACTCTGAAAGCGCGATAAGAATATGTCACAATCCATTGCAACACTCAAAGACAAAAACATATTGCACTAAGATACCATTTTATCAAGGACCATGTTGAAGATGGAAACGTGGAAGTTCATTTCATTCGGTCCTTTGATCAACTGGCTGACATCTTCACTAAAGCCTTACCAGAAGCGAGCTTCAATAGAATTTTACAAGGTTTGGGGATGATGGAAGCAGAGTCGGTACCGAAACCTCAAACCACTCTCTAAAAATTAGACAAGCGAAATAGAGCGAACGCTCGGTCTATTGCGGTTCCGGATTTTTCGGGAACCGAAATGAACCGAACGCTCGGTCCATTTCGTCTCCATAATTTTCGGGAACCGAAATGAACCGAACGCTCGGTCTATTTCGGCTCCATAATTTTCGGGAACCGAAATGAACCGAATGCTCAGTCTATTTCGGCTCCGGAATTTTAAGGAACCGAAATAAACCGAACGCTCGGCTTATTTCGCTTCACTCCTTAAGGTTTGATTTCGGTTGTATACTGTGTGAACTCTCTTTTAAATTTTTTTCTTGTTATGTTTTCTCTATCTTGATTCCTAGCGTTTTTAACATTAATTTCGTTTATTCTTGTTTCTTTTTTCTGTTTTTCTTATTTTTCAGAAAAATTTAAAAATCCAAAAATAGTTTTTTTTTTCTGTTTTTCTTATTTTTCAGAAAACTTCAAAAACCAAAAATAGTTTCTTTTTTCTGTTTTTCTTATTTTTCAGAAAACTTCAAAATTCAAAAATATTTTTTTTGTTTTTGTGTGTGTGGTTTGTTTATTCTCATTACTAGGTACCAAGTACCACATTGCTACATAACTTGGAGCTAGGGCAGGTACGACCACTTTCATTTGAACTAGTTAAGTGTCCCTAGAAGCATGCTGCTGCATGTAGACCGAAGCCTCTAAGACTATGAGTAAGGCCTTAATGATTCGATCTATACCTATCGTTTCTTCCCAATCAGGCTACTAAATTAACTCAAGTCATGAGCTACCTTACTCTTCTCAAAAGAGTTAAGAGTTTTCTGCTTTGTCACTTTTATATAGCAGGGGTACTTTCGGTTCCTTAACCACCTACTCTACATTCTCCATCAACTTTCGTTTCACCAAGGTAACCCTTGAGACTCTCGGTTCTAGCCACTGAGGTTTATGGTTACATAAAATTTGTGTTTATGATCTTAGATGCGTACACCACGTGCTAAGTGAGACCTAAAGTCCAATACCAATAATGAATTGACGGTGAATATTTTTATTCAAGATCTCACTTGTTACCTAACGAAATCTCATTTTATTTTATTTTTGCGTGGTCTTTATGACATTGTCTAACACCAAGGCATTTCTTCCCAAAAAGATCCAGTTTGATTTTTGTTTTTTGAGATTTCTATGATATCCTCAGTCACACCAAATTCTATCCAACCTACTTGTTCAACAGACCACATCGGTCTCACAAGTACTTCATCCAACTTTCGGTCTTATGTTAAGTATCGATGTTCGGTTGAAGATAAGCCACCCTTTTAGAGCCATTATTTGAAAAGAAGCCTTTCGATGTTTCTCTACAAACACTCGATCGTATTTTCTCGGGGAACCACACAAGCACTTCAAGTCTCTCTTGACTTTGAGGGGAAGAGATTCTTGCTCGGAATCGTCTGCTTTATGTCTTTTTCAAGACATCACTCACATCTTATACACATTTTGCTTTATTTCTTTATTTTTCGCACACTCTTACACGAAAATACTTGGTGATTTTCCAAAAATTCTGGTTGATGTTCCTTATGGCTTGTTTAACGTTTCTTTTACGCGCGAAAATGGTTATTTTACCATCTGGAGCGAAGATGAATTTCAAACGACGATATGAGGATAAGATTTTAGGCGCGTGAATTTGAACGGTTCCTAAACCTACGCTTGATGACGTCTATCTGGAGCAACCAACCTGTCACATCGCGCTTTTTCAGGCGACGTTTCAGTAATCGCATCATTATCACAAAGATTCTTTCTCTCTCCTGGCAATGGTATATAAAGGGTTTCTCGCACGAATTATACCTTCTTACATTCTGCAACCTCTCTCAAATACACAAGACGATCTGCCACTGTTCATCTTCTTCTTTACATCAACAATGGCGGAATCATCATCTGTTCAAGATCAAACAGCTTCCTCTTCTTTGCTTGTGATCAAACCCAATCAGAATTTGATCATTCAACTAAACCCCTTTCTGTATGATTCATACATGCTCCAAGTTGTCGAATGTCTCAAGTACTCTCCTCTGGTTGTTGCACTCACGAAGATGGAATCTGTTCCAATGTCTCTACTATCCCAAGTCTATTCTACTGCATCGTATGATAAGAACAAGGAGAGGATCTATTTTCAAATCTTTTCTCACAAGGCATCAATTTCGAAAGGGCGATTATGTTCCCTGCTACAGCTTGCCGTCGATGCCTCTGTTATCTCTCCTGATTTCATAACCACAACCCAACTGTTTACGATGCTTTATGAGATGGGGTACACTGATGTTCTTACCACCGTGACGAAGGTTAAGAACTCGTGTTTGCCACGGCAGTGGAATGGGTTGCTTACTCTTATAAACAAGGGTTTGGCGGAAAGGGTTGCTGGGTCAGATGGTACAAGTAAAGGTTTTCTGACCATCCTATGATAAGAACAAGGAGAGGATCTATTTTCAAATCTTTTCTCACAAGGCATCAATTTCGAAAGGGCGATTATGTTCCCTGCTACAGCTTGTCGTCGATGCCTCTGTTATCTCTCCTGATTTCATAACCACAACCCAACTGTTTATGATGCTTTATGAGATGGGGTACACTGATGTTCTTACCACCGTGACGAAGGTTAAGAAATCGTGTCTGCCGCCGCAGTGGAATGGGTTGCTTACTCTTATAAACAAGGGTTTGGCAGAAAGGGTTGCTGGGTCAGATGGTACAAGTAAAGGTTTTCTGACCATTCTCTATGGTCTCTATAATGGCATTAACCTCGATTATGGCTCGATTATTTGGTCGCAACTGGTGCAAAGTCTCAACACATCAACGAGACATTCCGAGATTTCTTGTGGTCATTTCTGGACCATCGTCACCAGGCGAGCCATTGATACTTTACAGATTCCAGTCATGAAAGATGCATTGGTCTCTTTTGTGGCTGCTTTTCATATGAAGAATATCATCTTCTCAGATGCCACCAAATTCTCTCATGTTGGTTCAATACCTGAGACGATGTACAGGGGAGTGACAACCGAAAGTACAGTGATGGTTGACTACCGAAAGCTTCCTCCCAAAGGACCAAGCGAACTGACTCCTGAACAGCAAGCTGCTTTAGATGCTGTGGAGAAGCCAGCGAAGCGAGGAAAACAGCCAGATACTAAGAAGGTTGCAACCGAAGGTCCTTCGTCTAAGCCTGTCAAGTCTAAAAAGCGAATGGCTGAAAAGGCTGATTCTTCAGCTCCAAAGAAAGTTAAGAAGATGGCAAGGAAATCCAAAAGTCCTTCTCCTTCAGGTTCAGAACATGATGAGGAGCGATCGGCAGATGAGGAAGAAGAAGTTCAGCATCATGGTTCACCAAGAGGTAATACACCTCCTCGTTCTCCAACTCCTACTGAACAACTTCATGACAAGATTCCAACACCTCCTCCATCTCCACCGAAATCTATTATTCCAGTTTCGGTTGCTCCAATTCCACCACCTTCTACATCTCAAACCACCACTTCTGTACCACCACCACCACCACTAGTTAGTACCGTACCAATCTCTACAACTTCTTTACCTCCTCCCATATTTTCACAAACAACTACCACAACTCTACCTACCACCACAACAACCGAACCTCCAGTAAACGTCAACGTATCTGATACGGGGGCCAATACTAAAACCGAACCTCCTGTTACATCCAAACCTCTTTCACCCTCACCTTCCACTGATTCTGGTAATACTCTCGGTGGTGACAATGTTGAGTTTGACTCGACTTATTACGGTCCTTATCGACTTCCCACTGATGAAGATGAAGAGGCTCCTATCACCAGACAACAAGTGCAGAGTCTAGATGCCAAGCTTGATCAATTGCTCGCCTCTACTAGGAGATACAACGATGTTGTGCTCAAGGCTTTTCTGGACACCGCTTTTGAGCAGTATACAGGAGCTATTGACAAATCAACACAGGCGGTTGAAGCATCAACATCTTCTTGTCAAAAGGCTACAACTGAAGTTACAGAACTTATTCACAGTTCCAAGATTTTTCTTGAATCCCTTAAGGGTCATGCTGATTCAAATGCTGCTAAAGTGAATGCTTCAGTTGACTCTTTATCAAAATCACTTCAAGCGGAGCAAGAAAAATTCGAGAATGTTCGTTCTTCAATTCAAGCTGAGAACGCTTCTCTTATTAGCTCAATGAATTCTCGCCTTGAAACACTCCATGCTGATTTATCAAAGGAGAGCGCCTTAAGGGAGGATCTTGCACGCCAAACCTCTACCATTGAAGTCCAGAAGGTTCAATTGGCTCAAGCTGAAAGGGAGATTTCATTGTTAAAAACTGAGCGTGCTGTTTTCCGGAGTTGTGCTGGGGATGTTCAGAATATGCTAAACAATGTTCTTAGTGCTCATGATCCGATTCTTACTCCGACCATCCGAAATCATCTGACTTCCAAGCTTCTTCCTGCCCTTGCACTTTTACATGAAATGAAGGGTGTTTCGGAGCGGTTCGTACCTCCAAAACAAGGGGGAGAAGGTGCACATACAACTCAAACGAAGGTCACTGTCAAAACAGAACCGAAGGGTAATGAAGCTTCGGGTTCTGATAATCAAAATAAGAAGAAGGGATTTGCTGATGATAGTGATGAAGAAGAAACAATTGCTGAGGCCCTGAAACGAAAGAAAAGGGATAAGGAGTTGGATAAAACTCTTCGTGTTGCAAAGGAAGCTGAAGAGAGGGAGCGAAAGAACAAGGAAAGGCAAGACGCCTTAATTTGCAAAAAGGCCTTGTTTCCTCCTTGGACCAGGGAGATGCTCATCAAAGAAGCGATAGAGTTTCCAAGCATTTACTGGCTGGAACCTGTGGCTTCATTTGATTGTGAGAATACGAGGGACTCACAGTTTGATATGCCTATAACACGAAAGGCATTTACTTTTCACTGCTTTGATTCAACTGTTCAAGTTCCCTCACCTCACCCTCAAGTTGATCGTACTCTTATCGATTTTTATCTCAAGTTCGGTCAGCCTCAGTACCTGACTTGGAGTGCACAGAAGATTATAACTGTCAAGGTGCTGAAACCATCGCCTGCAGGGAAGTTTGTCAATGTTAATTTCAAGATAACCTGAGGTTCAGACAACTCGGTTTCTGTGATATCCCTGGCAGATCTTCCTAACTTGAATCCTCATGATTGGATCTTGTTGTTTAACATCTTGCTCACTAATGAGAAGGAGTATGAGACGATCCTAGATCATCTGAAGAGGATGTTGGCTTCTTACGTCCATGAAGTTGCTGCAATGGACCAAGAGATTGCTAGAGTTTTGAACAGGAAACCAACTGTTAAGCCAACTGCAAAACCAGGAGATGTGAACAAGATGAAGATGGGTCAAATTGATTCCACACATCTAACGGTGATGTTCATAAAAGGCCAAGCTAACAGATTTCTTTTCGCTCTTGTTGATAAGCATCTGTTCTCAACGGATTGCTTGGAGCATATAATTAATATCATCCATCGATGCAAGCAGAACACTGAGGCAGACAAGAAGAACTTCACAGACATGCTTCGGTGGTACATTACTTTTCGTCATAATCTACTGGCCATTATACCGAAGGTGTTTAAGACTGTCAAGAAGTCTTCTATAGCTCAACCGAACTGAGCTTTCGGCTCCATTGACGCAAAAAGGGGGAGATTGTTGGGTATTCTATGTTGCGTCATGGGCTTAGTTTTGTATATCCGGACTGGGCCTGTCCATCCGTGATTATTAATTAGGGTTAAGCTATAAATAGTGCATGCATGTATGCCTTAGATACAGTCGTGATTATTATTCATTATTACTTTGTAACCCTAAACACCTCTACAATCGAAGTTCTTAATTGAGCTCTTCTGAGGTGTTAAAGTTTAATCATTCGACATCAGTTAAACCATTCCTGTGTTCTTTATTACGTCATTTATTGTTTTTCTGCTTAGAATCTATCGATCCTACTAGAACTTTGTTTCAACACTAGATCTAGGGTTTATAAGCCTTGGATGAATTGCATGTACAATAGAGAAACCTAGATCCAAGCTTTAGGGTTTGCATGAACACATAGGATGTTGTTTTGGCTCAAACCCATTAGAGCTCCCCCATGGTCTTCCCTGCAAGAATCACATATATAGCTAGCATAACACCAAACATAACTAGCAACCATACCACATATATCTACACATAAATAACATATCTCTACACAACATGTATACCATATATCACAAAATGGGTCAGCCTTGGTGCCTTAGACCCATTGGTATGGTGAGAAGACTCACCTATCGGATGATGAACTGACAAGCTAGAATCAGATATGTCCCACGTGCTGCTCCAACTCAACTTCCTATAATCATTATGTGATTAACTTGTCATAAACCCATAACTACCCTCAAAGTCAACCCTGGTCAAAAGTCAAGGTCAACAGTTAACATCAACAATCCATGTTGACCTCAACTCGTCGAGTGCATCTAGCAACTCGTCGAGTTCCTGCAGAGTCCAGAACACCTGAACAAACCCTAGCCAACTCGCCGAGTTGGTTCATCAACTCGATGAGTTCACTTGATATCCAATCTACGGGGAAACCTGATCCGACTCGTCGAGTTGTCAGGGCAACTTGTCGAGTCCTCCTCCCTGTTTGCTTATTATGATAATCCATCGAATACAGGGACTCCAGGGCTTAGATCTGAAACCCTAAGGTGTCTAGAAGGATAAAGTTCCTACTTTACCTTCCAGAACCACTCCGAATGCTCTAAGGTCCTTATCAAATATTGGAAAGCTCCAAAGCTTTGCCATTTGGTCCAATACCTTAGGGATCTGGAATCCCTCCTTTCTAAAAGAGTTTCTAGTCCTCAAAACGTTCCAAAGATGAAGGCTTTATGGACATACATGTCCAATGCATGTCTTTAAGTCAAAATGGCCAAAAAGAGGAATTATACTCTAGAAACCCTTGCATGGCATCCTTGCTTGACCAAAAGCTAGATCTAGCCCACCTTGGGGCTATTTTGCCCTGGAGATTCATAAAGTTGCAACCTTTATGAACCCCATGCATGCAATCAACAAGAATAATGGGAAATGAAGATTAAACTCAAGATCTAGCCATTTCCTAAGATAAAAATCAAGTCTTGAAGACTTACAACGGTCCACAAGATGATCAAGCTCAAGAGTGAGGGCTTGGTTTGTTGGATCTCCTCCTTCTTCTTACTATCTCCTTCTTCTTAAGCTCCACAAATCACTCTTAGCTCTCAAATAGAAGAGAATGGGGATTAGGGTTTAGCACAGACGTTTTTAGGGTTTGGAGGCTGATGGAAGGCCAGCCTCAAAGTCCTTAAGGAGATCATATAGGGTACAAACCCTAAAATTTAGGGTTTCTATTTGCAGATCCTACTCGTCGAGTCAGGCCTTCCGACTCGTCGAGTCAGGCCTTCCGACTCGTCGAGTCAGGCCTTCCGACTCGTCGAGTAGGACCCAACTTCCACGTCCTCTTGATAGCCTCCACTCGACGAGTCGGGGCTCCCAACTCGTCGAGTCCCAACACCAAAATCCTACAATTCTGAAAATTACATTAATACCTGGAATAGGTGTTACATTTTGAGAATACTTTTATTCTGATTGTCTTTGGGTTAATGAATGAATAGTTTGACTTATTTAAAAATGAAAATTTTTCTCATTATTTTTTGGACGTTACACATGGATATGATTGTTTCCTTTTACTTTAAAAAAGGGCGCAAAAAAGAGCAAATAAGGGGTGTTGGGTTTCAAACAACCGACCTTGCAACTTGCATATACAAAGCAACAACTTTACCACAAGACTGATAACATTTTGATATAGTCTTTTCTGAACTCTTGTATATTATCCAAATTGCTGGAATATTCTAAATAATAACTTAATTTCAATAATAACACTAATAATAGTAGTAGTAGTAATAATAATAATAATAATAATAATAACAACTATTATTATTATTAGTATTATTATTATTATTATTATTATTATTATTATAATTATTATTATTATTATTATTATTATTACTACTACTACTACTACTATTATTACCCTTACTTATTATTTTTCTAATTTATTTATCATTTGTTTATTAAAAAAAAAGTAAATGGTGTCACCTACTCCTTAACCGCATATGTCCTTTTAGTCTCTATTCTCATCTGAAGTGAAGAAAAATCACCCGACCACCATCTTAGCCCACCAACACCCCACTTAACCACCATCGGAACCCACTGGTTTGCCACCATAATCCATTAAAAACCCCTTACCATTGTTAATATGTACTTCAAAACTTATATACAACAAGAAAGATGAATAATGATAGTAAACAAGATCTCGATCTGCAAACCGTTTGTGTAACATCCTCTTTACTGTCATTTCTTATTTTAGAGTTGTGGGCCGGAAGTCGATTATGTAAAATGCTATGGACCTTAAGGAGGTAAGGTTTAGTCATTGTCGAAGGAGGTAATGATGTTTAAGAGATTTTACCCTTGAACTGCATGTTGGGCCGAAGGGTAGAAAGGGAAAAGTCATAGGAGGGTTCTTGAATGGAAAATGGATTTTTGTTCGAGAAGTTTTTAGTCCAAGATATCTAGATAATATTGTGGGGCTCTTCAATACCTTTCGGTGGATATAAAGATCGTTGAAAACGGAGTTGGAACGAAGAAGTTATAACCGTTTAAAGTTAGGAGGGTTTTGAGTTAAGCTGAGTACGATGGGCGTACAACGTGTACACTGGGCGTACTAGGCAACAATTGATCGTGGAGGTCAACCTGGTACGCTGGGCGTACGCAATCAGAACCCAAACCTAATTTCGGGGGTTTGAACCCTATTTAAGCTCCTTAACTTCCCCAAACCCTTATTTCTTTTAGCCTCCATCCTCTCTAACCCTAATATCAATACCCTATCCCCATTTGTGAGATCCTTGAGTTTTTTTAAGTGCTTTGGAGTGTTCTTGGTGCATCTTGGAGAAGAAGGAGCTCATTGGAGAAGTGTTGGTTGCTTTGGAGCTTGTAGATCTAGACCTTGTTCACATTGATCTTTTTTCTGGAGGTATAAAGCTTGAATCTTGACGATGCATTTGTTAGATCTAGCTAGTTTTGGATATTATGAGTTTCTGGTCACTTTAGTGCATAAAGTTTAGATCTTGAAATTTTGTGACATTGTTATGGATAAAGTTGGAAACTTTATCCATCTAATCATCATTTTGATTTAGATCTAAAGGTTAGAAACTTGGACTTAATGGATTAAGTAAGAAAGATGCACTTTTGGTCCCTTTGAAACTTAAAATACTAGATCTTGGTTGTTTGGACCATTCTAATGGATAAATTTGGAAACTTTATCTATTATGGAGCTATTAGGAACCATAAAAATGCGATCTTGGTCCTTCTATCCCTTTCATGCAAGAGTTAAGATGTCTTAATGGATAAATAAGTTAGGGTTTTAGCTTTTGGACCTTTTCTCACCATGAAAAGTCATAAATGTGGAAACTTTATGGCTTAAGTCGATGTTTTGAGTCTAGATCTGAGCTCTGGACAAAAGGTCTTAAGGGATTAAGCACTAAGGGAAGGAATTGTCTTAGACGTATGTACAACGAGCGTACATGAGAGTGTGTTGCGTGTATTGGCCTTGCATCACGTATGTTGGGCGTACATGGAGTACATTGGACGTACTCAACTGCCTTGGTTTTGACTTTTGTTGACTTTCGTTGACCGTTGACTTTTTACCCAAGTTTGACTTTGAGTCAAACTTGAGGATTTTGGACTATTGATTAAGATTTTATCCGGTTCTGGTGTTAGTGGATTCGCAGGTGTAAGCAGTGTAGAAAAAGGGATCGTATCGCAGTGTTTCAGAGTTCTTCGATTCAGGTGAGTTTTTCCTCACTGTACTTATGGGTCGAAGGCACTAATTCTGACGCACTAGGTTATGTATCCTGGTATAGAGGATGTTGATATGTTGTAGTTATCTGTTAGATCTGTTTCCTAGTATATAAGATGTTGTTATGCGGTAGTTATCTGTGGATCTGCTTGTTTGTCTGATTGGTTATATGATTATCTGTTTGTTGGATATATGTTATTTGTTATGTCTATGTCGACATAATATGGTTAGGTTGAGGCAATCCTGCTCTGTGTGGAAGCCAACAAACCTGGGAGCAAGCTAGACATAATTTGTGGGCCAATAAGGCAAGCCAGGCTTATGATGTGGGCTCGAGATCAAGCCAGCCATAAGCTGTGGGCTCCGGAAGGCAAGCCAGAATCATGATGTGGGCTCAGGGGTAATCCAATTTGTTAGCTGTGGACCCAATATGCATGTTCTTGTATGCTTGTGTGGTGGTATTTTGGGGGAACTAACTAAGCTCCATGCTTATAGTTTGATTGTTATGGTATCAGGTACTTCAGATGGTCGGGAGGAAAGCAAAGACGTGATCGTACACATCCTTCGATGACATGTTTCTAGAAGATTGTGTGATACAATGATCTTGGGATATTTGTAGCTGATACTTGGTTTTGATATGAGTTTTGTTTGAAAACAATGATTTCTCTTAATTTAAAAATGAAAAATTTTATCGTGATTTTGGGATGTTACAGTTTACCTAAATCATCTTGTGAAAAAAAATACTTAGTATAGGGAATATCATTGTCGACCCCTTCTTCCTAGATCCTCTTATGAACAAATACCTCCCATGAACAAATACCAAGGGGATTCGAAATCTGGACTAATTTTCAATTTCTAGATTTAGAATGGGATGATGACGTTCATCGTAGCCACCATCACCATTTTTGATTTTATAAATCTTTTTGGATTTTCATAACCATTTTTAGGTTGGTTTTGGGATAACATTTTTGGATTCTTATAGCCATTTTCATATTTCTTATTGATTTTGGGTGATAATGGGGTGGATCTTTGTGAATTTTTGGTTGTGGTAGACCTACCTGGAACTTAAAGTCCTATCTTTTGTGGATATGTGGTTCTGCAACAACGGTGAACCAAGGGTTAGGGGCGACAATGGGTAGTGGATGGTGGTGGTGGAGAAGCGTTGGGGTTCATGAAAGGGTAAGATATGGACTTCACGAAAGATAAAGGGAGACGAATTGGGAAAGGCGGAGTAAATGACGATCAATGGATTTTCAGTAGGCTATGGCGTCGATTCGGTGGTGGTGGACTGAAGTCCAAAGGTTTACGGTTGTATCTTGTTCAACAGAGAGTGAGAGATGAGATAAATGTGATTGAGGTGAGATCCATGTCTTTAAATGATTTATTTTATTTTATGGATTGCTTCATTTATTGTTATATTTAATAAAACAACGGTAAAATCATCAAACTCCTCTTAGCTTGGTAGGTAAGGTGTTGACCATTTCTTTAAGAGGTCACAAGTTTTGATTCTCAATCGGCTCTTCACATCCATTGTGCCTTCATTTTTCTTGTAAACATATCAAGCTGACGTGGCATACAGTTGCCACGTCAGCCGAACTAACCCCCTCAGCACGTAGGGCGCGCCACCTCTGGAGGTGACCAACATGTAATCTACTTAACCTACAAAAATGAAAAAAATTATTAAAAAACTTGTAAACTTCCAATTGTTTTTTGAAGGACGGATTTATTAACAAACTAGAAAGTCGCTAAAACAAAAACATAAGACAAGGAGTAAACATTACATCAAACAACCAACAAACATAATTTAAATCTATACTTAATCCTTACGAACAAAATTAATTAAATATTATTAGCCGCCTTAAAATAAGAATATCTTCTCCGACTCTACTAAACCTAAAAATGCCAAAGAGTAGGCATTAACCCTTAATCTTGTAATAAAAGAAGATTCTTTAAAGAAGAGAAAGGTGTAGGTGGTGGTGAGAGTTAAAGAAGCGGCAGACAAGTGTGAAAGTTGCGAGGCTTGGAGACGCGGAAAAGCACAGAAAAGATGCGCGTGGATTACACGTGAAAGTTGTCAGGGTGGGGGTCGAATCGCCACACAAGAAGGAGTGGCCCACCTGGTTTAATCTCCTGGTTTTCGGGAAAAGTAGTGAGTCAGCAACAAACACAAAAAGAAATGTCCGGTTTCTGGTATTTGGAGAAAACTAGGACATGTCTGTGGGCGGAAAGAAAAGTAACAAATACCATGGGCCATATACCACATCGAAATGTCGCTTACTATCTTATTCTTATCCCAATATTCAAGAAATCTAATCTAATTAATAATTAAATAAAAATTTAACTACAACTAATTTTTTAGTATTCAAATTAAATTAAACTTTAACTACACCAAGTTCCATTTTAGTAATTTTTTATTTAAATACTATATTTTGTTATCATAAACTTTGACGATTCTATGGCAAACTATAAAAATACCAAAATATAATATATATTTTTTTATGTAATTTGCACTTTATACATTGAAATCTTAAGTAATATAACCTTTCTTTGCCAAAAAAATTATATATAAAATTCAACAAAAAAAAAAAAAAAAAAAAAAAAACTTGATCTGAAGCGTCAAAACTAATGTACCAAGTCACTAGATACATACAATCCGGTTACATTGGATAACCTAATCCCAGTTCCATCCTATAAACTGTGTCGCCGGAGTTATCAGAATCTTCAGCCGCTTTTCCAAAACTTTCAGGACTTCGACTCCTCTCGAAGCCAAGAGTCAGCTCCAGTTCAATCTCATCCTTCTTATCCTGCATCGTCGGAGCAGCGGCGGAACCTTCGGCTGTTTCTACAGACACCAAGCTTTCCTCCGCCGTCTCGTGGCTCTCACCTTCCACCACATGCGCCGCTTCAGATTGGTGACTCAGGGTAGACTCATGACTAGACGACCTGTTGTTAACTTCATCGTGACCTGATTCTTCATGATCACTTGACCCGACACAAACTCGATTAGTTTTTGCTTTTCCTTTTGATCCTGATCTCTTGAAACGGCATCGTGTTCTGATCCGGTGAAGCTCGTTGGACCCACCGGAGTTCTCGTCCTTTGATATGTGACGAATGTCGTACGCCTTCAACGGCGGACCGTTGTTCGGCTCCTCCGTGTCGGAAGATATCTGCACGATCGGAGACCCTTTTAAAACCGCTTCCACCGCATCTTGACAAAGCTGCCACCTTCCAGACCATAACAACCCGACAGAGCCATATATCGGGTTCACAATCCGACCACATGCCTCGTATAGAAGTGACCTGAATATCGCTGTAATACACAAAGAAATTTCATCAAACTTTCGATCTCAATGTTTGTAGTATGGAGATTTGTAAATCAAGAAAAATGAAGTACTCACCAGGACGGAGGTGTTCAGGGCCGGCGTTGATGAGGTTCATGAGTCCGGCGCGGCCGTAGAACTTAGCTAAGAACACGGTGGCGTTTCCTTGTGATTCCGGATCTTTAATCCATTGCAAACAAGGTCTAATGCTACAGTCGTCACTACATCCCTTTCGAAGCACCCGGCATCCATTACAACTCATTCTCATTGTAGCAGGTTTTAGAGAGAGAAGGTTGAAGAAAGATAGAGAGAGAGAGAGAGAGAGAGATGAAGAAGAGGGTTGAAAGTTAGATATGTGGAGGTGGTGGTGGTGGGTGTATATATATATATGTGCAAAAATGGCCGCTGGATTTCTGGGAGGCCGCAGTTGTTTCCAAAAGACTGGTATTGTTTAAGTTAACAACCGGTTTTCCACATTCATGAACATAAAAAATGTATTGCTGTGGAAATGGAATGATCCTTTCTTTGTAACATTCAAATGTCAAAACATTGCCCGTACAAACCCACTTGTGTTTAATAACAAAAGCAACATAATTCTAACCACTTTCAAAGGGCGGCGCGTAAGATCACTCCCTAGCTACTAATCCAACCCTTAACTTTGTGGTGACTTGTTTGTTTAGAGGATGTCCAAATTTTAAACCTTTAAACCTTTAACATTATTTTTTACATTAATTTATAATTATAGTTAATAATGCAACCACTAAATACTATCTAACTATAGTATGCTTAACGGTAAAATAATATTTCAAATATATTCTATTTAATTCAATTTTTACAGTGTATAAGATGTGTTAATAAATAGTATCATACTATATTTAGTGTTTACTATTCACAAACATTATATATAATGTTAGGTTTAGTGTGGGATATGAAAGTATTTTGAAAAGTTTAGGGGTAAAAACTATAACTATAGAAAATATACGGATAGAAAATGTCATTTTACAAAGTATGGTTAAAACTGTCACTTTAGAAAGTATAAAAGTACGTAGATGAAAAATGTCATTAAAAAAAATATAGGGATACAAAATATTATTTTACATAATATTTTAACAAGTATAGGGGTAAAAATTATCATTTTAGAAAGTATAGGGTAGAAACATTGGAGAAAACTATCATTGACGTTGCCTTTTAATGTTTATATAATTAACCAAATGATCTATGTGGTAGACAAAATGTTGTCTTCTAAGGCCAAATTTTTTTCTACAAGAGTTACATCATTGAGTTTGGATTTCATTACATTTTTGGTTATCGGATCATTTAAAATTACAATTATATCTTTCGGTCGCTAATTTATATGTATATTTCTAATTTTTTTGTTAAACTGATTTAATTAATAAAATGTAGAATCACCAAAACCCACCCACCAACACCTTTAAGTTTCTCAACTTGAATAAGATATTGAAAAAGAAAGGTAGAAATTGAACGACGATGGTGGCTAAAGGAAGACAGACAGAGAGTTAAGTGATACATATAAGATCATTGTGTGTTTCGTGATATTGTTGGTATCTAAGAAAAAGGTTTCATGTTTAAGAGACGGTGTGTACTTAGCAACAAATATGTTTCACTCCATATTGAAAAAGCCTCTCGCTAACTCATTTTCGTACAAGAATGATATAATAGGCAATCTACATTAAGAAATTACTTTTATCTTTTATAGCTTTGCTTGTTCTACTGCAGTACTTGAAAAGCTCAGAAGAAGCTTACTGTAACACCCCGAAATAAGGTATGTATCAGTAACCCTTACTTTTATTGAATTGTCAAAGCTAGCCCTTAATTGACAAAAAGGTGGCAAATGAGTACGCGGGGCATACGCGTGTGTACGCTCAGCGTACTCATGTGCGTATTATGAACGCGAAGGCCACCTAGTACGCTGGACGTACCAGAGGGTACGCTGGGCGTACTAGGCTCAGAGTGAAAACCCTAATTATGTGGTGTGTCCCTATTTAAGGAACATGATGGCCTCATTTCCAGCCACCATTTCCAGTCTTCAACTCCCCTCAAAACCCTAATTTCTGTTTTCTTAACTTGAGTGGCCATTTTAAGCTTTTTAAGTGATCTTTGTGGGATTCTTTGGGTGAAGAAGGAGATTTGAAGAGAGTAGAGTTGGAGTCCAAGCTTTGGATCTAAGTTTCCCTATGGTCGGTACATCATTTGGAGGTATCAAGCTCAAAGCTTTCTCATTGTTTTGATTTGTGCATATTGTGGTTCATTTTAGGGTTTACGTCCCAAAGCTTGAAGCTTTATGAGTTTGTTGAACTCCAGAGCATAATACATGTCCCTTTAAGTGTCTCTAATTGAGTGGACTCATAAAAATGGGATCTTGGACGTCAAGATCTCCCCATGCATGATATATGAGAACTTTTGTAAGTAAGGAGTGAGAGTTTATGAGTTTTAGACTTGCTCAACCATGCTAAGGCTTAAAGTCACAAACTTTATGGAGTATTAGCCTTTAGTGACTCCAGATTTGAGATTATAGTTATGGTCTTAACGGATTAAGACCAGGAGAGTGGGAAAAGTAAGTCTAGGACGTAAGCTGAGCGTACTCCCAAATACACGTAGAGTAGCGTCGAAGTTTCCTGATGCATGCATGGTGAAGTAGTACACCCAACGTACGCGCTTGGTGTTGACTTTTGTTGACTTTTAGGGTTTGGTCAAACTGTGGACTTTGGAGGCCATGGAAGGGTGAAATGGTCTTTTATCCTTCTGAGAATTAGTAGAGGGCTTAGCCTAACATCTTTGGGGGTTGTTTATTAATTAGAGTTAATTACGATATATTTTAGGCGGAGGCTAGACCGGTGGTTCGAGTACGAGACATACTTGCTTTACTTACGAGGTGAGTCCTCTCACTATACTTACCTGAGTGGTAATATAGTGTGACCGGAGGGTCTTATATGCTTATGCTGAGTTATGTGATATTATGCATTTGTCTTTGTGATTTATGATGTATATTATTCTGTGCTTTATTGGTTAGGACCAGAGGGTCCAACCCGAGATGTGAGACCGGAGGGTCCTCACCGAGACACATGGACCGGAGGGTCTTTATAGAGATATAGCCATGAGAGGCTAATTATTTGCGTGTGATATTTTGGGGAACTCACTAAGCTTCGTGCTTACCGTGTTGTGTGATATGTGTTTCAGGTACTTCTCAGGATCGCGGGAAGGCGTCGGCGTGATTGTACACACCAGTTGGAGATCATGTTTTTGAGGATTCTGGGATTTTATTAAACATTTGTTGACTTGTGTTTTGACAACTTATACATTTTGGGGTCTTTTTGGAAATGTAATATTGAGTTTATGTGATTTTAAAAATGAAAATTTTATTTGAAAATTTATAGTATTACAAGTTGGTATCAGAGCCTTGGTTTGAGGGATTCGGATGTACTCTCGGGTATGTCTGGACTCAAACTGAGGATTTGAGAAAAAAAATTATAAAAAGAAATGATTTTTCTAAAACGAGTAAGAGTTCAAAGAGAATACGAGACGGAGCAGTGTGTACAATCAGCGAGAGCCCGAGCGGTGATTTCCCAAGATACCATTACTTGTTTACATTATGAGATATTTATGAGATATTTGAGTTTCATGCTAGAGGATAGGCTAGGTATTTCGGAAATTAGGGCTAGAGTTCCCTGATTCATGATGCCTTAGCGTAAGGGATGTTATTGATTGATATTATCTGCTATTTGCTCTATGTATGTGCTGAGTAGGAGTACCCAGCAGGAATCTTTTAGAGAAAGTTTTGAGTAATCTAGGAGAGATACCTAGATGAGCATTGAGGAATCTACCGGGAGAGTAGTTTGATATTTGTAAGGGATAGAGTACTTGTGAATTAGGATCCTAGGAGGAGGACTTGGGACGACTACAGGTTGGTGTGGAAGGTAGTATTGGGCCTGTACTACTGAAAGAACCAGATCTGTATGCGGCTCAAGTAAGAACCTTAGGATGCTAAGGAGCATGTAGGGGTAGGTAATTGGGTGTCTGAGTGTTTGAGCTAGTATCTGATGATTTTGTGTTTGTGTTTCAGAGACACTATGGTGATTACCCGCAACAACCCCGGGAGCAGTGATACCAGTGACGAGGAGATCCGCAAGATCATTCATGAGGAGGTGGCAACAGCTATCAGAGAGGCCATACCATAGATGTTCGGGTCTATTAAGACCACACTTATTGAGACTTTTGACGAGCGATACGATGCTGTCACAGAGGCTGCTGCTGTCGCAGCCACCGCAGCCCTAGTTGCTACGAGGCCTCAGGGGAGTGATTCGTTGTTGCTTCGGGAGTTCATGTAGCACCTGTTTCCTGGTATGTATTTTATTTAAGTAATGTTGCATTTTTGGCCTGGGACTCGGCGAGTTGAAGGCCCAACTCGCCGAGTAGAAGCGGGATGAGACGCGGGATTTAAGTGATGGACTCGTCGAGTCGGGTCCCGGACTCGACGAGTAGGCTCTGTCTGGACAAAACCCTAATCTGAGGGTTTGCACCCTATTTAAACAACCTTATACAACCTCCATTGTCCCTTTATGCTCCCAGACACCCTCTATAGAAAACCCTAGCCGTTGTTGAAGCAATCTAAGCCATTTTGGTGGATTTTGGTGTTGATAGTCTTAAGAAGGAAGGAGAAAGGCTTGAGGAAACAAGAGGAGACCAGAGGGGTTCGAGTTTGTGCTTCATTTTCAGTCCTCAGAAGGTATAAAGTTGCTAACTTGCTTGTTCATTTGCTAGATCCCATTTTGTGGAGATTTAGGGCTTTTATAAGCCATTTTAGGTAGCCAACCATGAATGCAAGCATGGTTGGGGACAAGGCTTCGGATCTAGGTCCTTTGAGGGGTCACAAGGCAGAAAGTGGGTGCTTTTCCACCCAAGGAAGACTCCATGCAACCCAAGAGCTTGTTTTAGGACCTTTTGGACTCAAAGTCCCATGCATGCACGTAAAGTTTGTAACTTTACGTGCTAGGACGATTGTAGGAGCCTAGATCTATCTTTTGGTCAAGAGTTGTACATCAGAAATCGAGGATTTAGGGTGTGGACGTGACCAACTCGGCGAGTCCGTTCTTGGGACTCGACGATTCCAAGGCTTTGAGTCCCATATCTGTTGAGGGTCAAATGGACTCAGTTGGGTGTTAGTAGGGTGGTAGCAGGACAGAAAGAGTGACCCAACGCATTGGACTTCATTTTAGACCTGGAGTTCATGGGACTCGACGAGTGCTAGAACAGACTCGGCGAGTCCAAGGCAATCTCCCAACCCTTGAAGATGAACTCGACGAGTTGTTCATACAACTCGGCGAGTCGAGGACAGGACGTGTTCTTAGGATGAAGACGGACTCGACGAGTGTTCATACCGCTCGGCGAGTCGGATGAAGGTTCATCTGAGGTTGTGTTAGAAGGAGAACTCGTCGAGTCATCGCTAAACTCGACGAGTAGGGACGTGGAAGAGGACAACTGAGGGGGTAGGGACTCGACGAGTTGA